GGCGGGCGGGCGGGTGCGCCGCCAAGCTCCGCGCTGGTCGCCACCGTAGAAGTTTCCCATTTTCTTTCCTTCGTTAGCAAGCGAGCAGAGGGCCGTTTGCCCGCTTTGGCTGTTTAAAGTGTGTCGCGTTTTGTGCGTCTCGCTCCCGTCCTTTCCCCGTACTTGGGTAATTGTTCAACTGGCTGCACACAGGGTTAACAATTTCCCCAGTCGGAAAGTATATATTTAATATGCGAGCATATTTGATGTTCATTGACAGAGCAACAATAGGAATGATCTTGCTTTATGTACCAGTTACAAGGTTTAATATCATTATATTGCATGCAATATTAGTTTTTATTAGTCGCCATTAACAAGATGTTTTCTACTTGAATTCTCATTTACTTGTTCAATGCAAAAATTATCTTTGTAAAAGAGAAAAACACATCTTCAAGTGTCAGCTATATTAAATTAAAGAACTGTTTACCCTTCCTAAGGAAAGCATATGTATCTAAATAGGCATCTTTTACCGTTTGCATAGTAGATTGGAAATTAGCATTTTTGTTCATTTTCCCATGTATGCACAGCGCCTGGAAGAGTAATACTCCATGCATATCAGATCAGCCAGCCTACAATTTTTGTGCAATATATTATTTGGCAATCTAAAATTTGTAATTTGCATGAAATTGCTTAATTAAAATACAGTCACTCAGGGTATTAATTTCTCTGTCTGGCAGTTCAACGTACTAAAGGCGGGCTACAGAAAATGTGAAATCCTGTCAGATGTAACAGTAAAATATTAACAAAAAAAAATCCACTTCTGGCAACAAAGTGACAGAGTGATAATGCTTTTGCCCTGATTCCGGGTTCAAATACGAGCTTGGGTTGACATTGAAACCGACGAGGAAATTTACAATAGCAACTCTGGCTTTTTGCCAATAAATCTGCATCACGGACCTTTCTTGGCGAAACCCTTTTCCCTCTCCCCACCCCCTTTACATTTTTCCCTACTAGCAAAGACGAAGAAGAAAAAATCCCTTTTCTGAAACCCAAGTCCCTTACTATTTTCGGCAGCTTGCTTTTGAAATCAGCAACCCTACTGATAAAATGATCCAATCAGTCCTTCCCAGTTGTCAAGACAACAGTTCATAATTGTACCAGCTCTTTTCATTGCAGCTAGACATTTCATAAATAGATAATTCTCTAATTGATCCAGCCAATCCTACTTTGCATACCCTGCCAAACTAGGTAAGCCCGGTTTCTATTCTAGTACAGCAGCAACTTTCTGCAAAGACATGCAAATGAGCTTTATTTACCGCTTGCGAGAGGGGACGGAGGAAAAAAAAAACCAAAGAGGGGAGGGAAGCAACTTTAATTCTAAATAAATCTGGACCTGAGGGAGGGGGCGGGAAAGAGAGGCTGATTTTGTGTCGCCAAATCCCACGTGTATGTGGCATGTTGCAAGTGTATGGAGAAGTGCATCGGCGCGAGGTCTCATTCGGAGCGGCGCGACGGGCGCAAGCGGCGAGGCGGGCCCGGAGCGGCCCGGGGCGACCCGGGGC